AGATCGCATACACATAATAATTGCTCTACTTACTAGACCTACTTACTGTGGCCAGGCACTGTGTTAAAACTTTTAGATGCGTAAGTTTAAATTCTTATAGCTGTTCTGCAAGGTGGGTGTTATTATACACATTTTACAGGTAAAGGAACTGAGGTTCAGAGAAGTAGTAAGTATCTAGGCCAGAATTAATGCGGACTCCAAGTCCATGTTCTTTTCACTGTGCCACTCGGCCTCTCAGTAAAAAGGTCTAACATGAAATTGGAGTCCCGGTGGTGCAGTGGTTATGAGCTACACCTGCTAACCAAAAGGTCGGCAGTTCAAATCTACCAGCTGCTCCTTAGAAACCCTGTGGGGCAGTTCTACTCTCTCCTATAGGGTTGCGATGAGTCGGAATCGACTCAACGACAACAGGTTAATGTTGCAGCGGCGACGGTAATCGGGACGGCGAAGACAGTAACCAACTGCACAACTCTTACAGAGAAGTGGGGCCAGGAGGGTCACTCTGAGGAGTCGACCCCACTTCAGTCCCAGGAGTTTATTTTATAGTCAGTACAGCAATCAATAAGGCAATTAACAAACAATGGGCTTTGAGTACGAGGGAGGGAGAAGGAATTCAGGTAAACAAGTCAATCAGTAAAGGGACAATAGGTTTGGGAAAACACATCCGGACAAGTCTCGACAGGTTGGAGACAAGTCTCAACATGCTGTGCAGCACAGAGGCCTGTGGGGGCTGCAGTTGTCAATAGTGCAGCCATGTTTAAATGGCATATATCCCCACAGGTTAACGTGAAATTGAGTTTTCAAAAGATTGAATAATTTCTGTTTCTTCTGATGCCCCAACTCCTGCCCTTCGATCAGGAATTTGGGTCTTGATTCTACCACAAAAATAATCTGCTATTCTCTGTTTGGGAAGACAGGAGTGGGAGGTAAAGTGTTCAAAAAGTGATGCTCGTGTGTGTAGTGAGATTTCCAGAGTCCTGCTGCCCAATGGCTGATTCTCACGGCAGTTATTCTCCTAGACTTTCTCAGACGTTCAGGTCTTTTTGTCCCTTTGAAAGAAACAGCCGAGGACACTTGCTGCTATATTTGGAAGGGTCTACCCCCAAATTTGGCTACCCCCAAACTCCTGTGGCTGGTCTGTGAAGGGTGCCAGCAGTAGGAACGGGCATTTGATAGTTTTAAATGGCCATTAACTGCCAGCTCCTTTGTCACAAATGTCTGGCACTGAACTTTAGTGAGTCTTTTTTTTTTTTTTTTTTTTTTTTTTTTGTGAGTTAGAATTTTGTTCTA